CCTGAAGGTTTTTTCTTACGGATTGTTGTCTCCAACTGAGATAATAGTTGACTTGCAGCAGTGTTTCAGCGCACCTCAAAACAAAGTCCATTTGATAACTTCAGCCACATAGCAAAAAATGGAGTAATGAGCCTTCCTGCAGTTCTCCTCATACGGATCTCAGAAAGCGGACAACAGACGGTAATTTCTTGAAAAACAAAATTGCGCCTTCCACCGCTACTAGCTGCTGGGATGTAAGTCACGCCCTGTCGGGACTCCAGAAGCTCCTAATTGCTATGTGGAATGAACTAATGTAAGATCGTTGCTCATTTTGAATGGGCGATGTTATTATCCTTGTTAGTCAGCGCTAGTTTAGGGCGACTTCTCTTTTCAACGATCAAATGAAATGACGCCAGTTCAAGACCGTAAAAATTCTGCTTTCCGAAATCTTTCATCACAGTCTGGAAGCTCGATCAGTGCACCAATCAACAAGATGCCTCCACTGAGAATGGCCGGTATCAAAGTAAGAGATGAACTTCTACGGCATGATATATTCTTTAGTGGGCAAATTATTTGTACATTGATGTTTTGCAGGGCTTTGCTCATCTAGCCGATTCGGGTGAAAAAGTTTTGGGCCCACAATTTATGAATGCATTAAACGGATATGCAGAAAAAAGTCAAGATATGTTTAATCAGGTTCTTTTTTCTCAATTTCAGTACATTTAAAACATTTTTACATAGATCACAGACAGCACATGTTTGCCCGAGCAGATGTACGCATTTGTCAATTTGCTGCAATGAATCGTTCCAAAAAATCCTGGGGCCAGGAGCTAAAATTTGAAAACGTTTTTTCTGATTACGCACGAGATAAAATTAGCGTTTTGGCCCTGACTTATAAGCTAAGTTCAATGTTTAACCTCAAAATAAATATCTAAAAGCAGGAAATCGTATAATACTGGCTTGCCATACAATTTTGTGGGAAGTCTGAAATCCGCATTAAGATTCGTCTATCTTAACTCTCCAACCCTTAAATCAGCTCGTCATGTTCTAAAAGTGACGACGTTCAAGAAGAAGCTATCGAGAAATCTTTCTTGATTTCTTTACACGGTAGGCAAATTTTCTAAAAAAAAAAGTTTGAAAGGCTAAAGCCATGCCAGATGCCGTCGAAAAAACCGTTAAAGAGATTAGCCCTTCGAGGAGGAAATGAATGTCAAAATCGTTGACAGGCTGTCCGCTAAATAATGAAGCATTAAACAAAATAATTGGAAAACTAGCCAGCTGAAGAGTGGACAAGCAAAAACAACAATAGAACTAATCCAAGCACATCCTGAATTAAGACGTCACATCCAAATGCATGCCATTATATCTTTGTAAAACGAGCCATAGATCCAAAATTTTGATGTTTTTTATGTCAAAGAATTATGTCGAACTGCAGTTATTTTCACTACGTGTCGGCTCACCTTTGCTTCTGTGCTCACGCTAACAACATTTCACAAAAACTTAAAATCATGTCAAATATTTGATTTTACTAAAATCCACACATTTTACAAGGAAAACTCGGGAGATATTTATGACTGAGTCCAATGGAACCATCGTGTTTTATGGGTTAAAAGCTATGTTTGTTTTGTACTTT